CTGGCTGGGGAATTCTGGGAGTTGAAGTCCACCCATCTTAAAGTTGACAAGGATAAGGAACACTGTGCTAACCAAAATGGTTGGACAATAATACCCATCATTTGAGTTCACACAACATGCAGTCTATGCTCAAATGAAGCCAGGTAGCTTGTGATTCAGCACGATGTGTAAACCATCGTGTAGTTTATTTCTTCTGGCATCGTTTGGTGGGCTTAAGATAGTCTTTGATAAGAAAGGCTGCCAGAAATTCATCATTGCGGGTATAAATCATCGGAATCTGGGTTTCTGCTTCTCCTTGCCAGGGAGGTCTGAGCAAAGCAGGACTAGGTAGGGCGTGGGGCATGCCCCGCCCTTCAGTGACAACCCTCCAAAAGCTCCTCCTTTACATTCCTCGGCTGTGATGCTGCTGAAGATGCAGGCTTCTGGAGTGAGATCACCCCTTCGGAGGCCATGAAAGCATATCTTGTTCCCTGCTTGCTGGCAAAAAACAGGCCAGATGGCCCAGCCGGCCTGTTTTCTGCTGGTGATTGGCAATTACCGGCTGAGAACAGAGCGGCCTGGTTTTTTTTGCCATCGCAACATAATTAAAGCATTGTCCTTTTTCCTTTTTCAGTCCGATGGGCTTTTTTAAAAGGAAAAATCTGGGACAAGTTATAGCAACTGACTTCACCGGCTACAGCCCCTGTCCCTCCTTTTCCGGTGGCCTACCACCCTCCCCATTTTGCCAGCGAACAGCGGCTACCTGTGGTCACAACGCCAGCGAACACCCAGCACTGGCCGTAGAGGACGGGGTAACCCGTGCGGAGGTATTTCAGCAGGATGTCTCGACTGCCAACCCACGCCGAAGGGTTGGTGCCCCGGGAATAGTCACCGGTCCAGTTGCCAACCAGCACCCCGTTGTCATCCAGAGAGTTCACCTGGGAGGGGACACAACGTCATCATCGACCAAACCGAGGCCAACGGTGCCCAGGGCGTCGGCTGCCTGATTCTCTCTCAGACCCTCATTTGCCAGAGCCAGAGCCAAAGAGACGGCGAAATCCATTTCAGGACACCCAGAGCCAAAGAGACGGCGAAATCCATTTCAGGACACCCTTTTTCAACACCACCATCCACCCTGGAGGACCACAAGGGTCTTTCCCTAATCTGGTGGAGATGAATCCAAAGAAACCAGGATAACCCCCCCCCCCCCCCCGCAAAGACCCACTTTTAAGACTTTGAGTAGTATGCAGGGGGGAGTCTGCAAAAATAGGACTGAGCAGGGGGAAAGATCCAAGTGAATAAACATGCATAAAATAGAAAATGAAGACAGGATGTTGAGAGCCACTGAGATGAGCTTGGAGAAGCTGCATGGAAATGGTTGCTGAAATAAAAGCAGGTGCTGAGCCTGGGAAACAGAGAAAGCGTGAGAAAGAAGCTCAGGCTGGTTCCACCCTAATTTACTGGGTGTAGGAGAGTGGGAAGGGAAAATGCAGTCAGGCTTTCAAAATTCTGTTCCTCCAGCCCAGTGTTTCTCAACCTTGACAACTTTAAGACGGGATGGGGCATCAACCCCCCCGACCCCCACCCACCTCCTGCGCGCGGGAACGCTGAGGGTGTGTCACCATCTCC